TTAAATATATTTTAATAATATTTCAATAATATTTTAATTATATTTTAAGTATTTTTTAAATATGCATATTTCTTATAAGGTGAATGTAAAATCAAAATCACTTTTATTATTTTCTTTTGATCATCTTTTAATTTTAACTAAATTTACTTTAGATAAATTTTTAGAAAAGGAACTCTTTCCGCTGATCAATTACACCAAAACATTCAAGGAAAGGAAGTTCTTATAAAATAAATAAAAAAAAAAAGGAAGACAAATAAAATAACAAATTCATCAGGAACGAGTATGAAAAATGGAAGCGGACATCCAAGACAGTTAACAGCAATTTATGGAACTAGACTTAATGAGTTAGATACAATCAGAAGAACCCTAAAGTCAAAGACAACAAGCAGTCTAGCTACAAGAAACATTATTGCAAATACTTATGGACTAAAAGCTAGTACAATAGCAGGCACAAGCAATTTGAACAAAGAAACAAAAATCACAGAGACAAATACAAATAACATGGAGTTATTACCAGTGGAAGAGAATTTATTATTAAATCAAGATAGTATAGGCGAAGAAAATATAGATAATAATATGAAGGCAATTGATAATACAAAAAAAAATAAAAAAGGTAAAGGAAAAGAAATTATTATTGAAACAGAAAAAGAAAATAATGAAACAAGTGAGTAAAATATTGCAAACACAGAAACAGATGATAATGAATCAGTAAACTCAGAAGATAGTTTTTTAAGTGAACATGAGGAATGGAGGAAAAAAATTAATTTACAAAAGTATAAAGTATAAATTAAAGCAGGAGAAGTTCATGGAAAAAACTTAAAAGAAAAAATTAATATAATAGTAAATTTATTAAATAAAAATGAAATTAATATTATTATAATCAAAACTGAAAAAAATTTGGAAGATAAAAAACTATATATTGCAATATATCTGAAAAAAAAGGAAGATATGGAAAAGGCATGTAAAATCGAAATTGAAGGAATACAATTAAATGATAGGTCAACTTTAACAAGAGCAGCAATAAATCAAAATAAAAAAATAAATAATGAAAAAGGAATTAAGTTCTGAGATATATCAATTGGCATGCAGGAACAAGAATTTAAAAGTATGATAAAAAATAAATTTGGAAATGTAACCTCATGCAGTATGAGTACAAGAGGATTGTGGTTATCTGCAATAGTACAATTTAAGAAAGAAGATATAGCTGAAAATCTATTAATGGAATGGTTCCAAATTATTGAGAAAAAATTATGCAGAGTAACATCACCCACATGTAATTTTACAAACTTAAGGAAAGAGATAAATATGCAGTAAAGATCATCAATTTACCACCTGATATTACAGCACAAGAATTATATAATATAATAAGTCTTTTTAGTACCAAAACATGCTATTTTTCACGAAATTTATATGGGAAAAAGAAAAGAATGATCATAGTATCTTTTAAGAGTCAAGAAGGAAAAGACCAAGTTATAAATTTTGAATGGATTGCAGGAGAATATAGAATTAAAATAGTGGATACAATTTTGAAAACGTGTCACAGATGTCACGTAAAAGATCATTTTGTGAACAGTTGTCCTGTGGCAAAAAAACAAAGGGAAATTAGTGAAAGAAAAGCAAGAAATTTTGAAAAATATAGACAATTATATAAAAGACAAAGGTCACAATTATATAAATCACTGATGGGAGGAATTAACATGGGAACAAGTTACTTAGATGCTGTTAAAAATAATATAAATAGAAAAATTAAAAATAATATAATGGAAAAGAATGATACAACAAATGAAAATATTATGAATATGTTATTAGAAATTCAGTAAGATATAAAAGAAATCAAGGAACAGGTGAAAGATATAGATGAAAGATTGGAATTAGTGGAAATTCATTGTGCTTATGAAATATTAAATGATGAAGAAGTAAAAGAAATGGATATCAGTGATAATGAAAATGACGAAATGAATGAAAAAGAAAAATCCAAGGCACAAACAACTAATGATAAAAAAGAGGAGAAAGAAATGGAGAAAACAATAAATTATATTTATGAAACAATTAAAGCTCTGTTAGAAGAAAATAAAACAACTTTAGCACGATTAAATGAAGTGGAAAAGTATATTGAAAAAAATAATGAACAAGGAGAAGATAAAACCCTAATTTAAGGAACATAATTTTTTAAAAAAAATATTATATTATGATGAACAATCATAAAAATATAAATATTAATAATAATAATATAATAGAAAATGAACAAAATACTAATATAATTAATAACATTAATATTAAAAACAATAATAACAATCCTTTTTTAAATAATAATAGTAATTTAAAAAATATTAAAAAAAAAATCCCAAAAAAAATTTTAAAAATGAAGATAAAATTAAAAACATAAATAAAACTAAAAATATAAATAATGAATTAATAAATAGTAATAATTATGTATTAAATATAAATCAAAATAATGATAGTGTTATAATATATAAGAATATAAATAAGAATAATTTAAAAACTTTAAAAATAACTACTCAAAATATAAGGAGAATAACAAACATTACAAAACAAATAGATTGATTGAAATTCTGTGAAGATAAAGATTTAGATATAATTGGACTAACAGAAATCTGGATAAAAGATGAAAATTGTAAATGTATATTTAAAAATAATACAATAAAAGAAATAAAAGGAAAGATAAAAATGTCAATGAATACATATATTTTTGGGCAAATGGACAACAAACAAATGGTTCAGAAGTCAGAATCATGATAAAAAAATATGGGCAAAACATGTTTATAAGATAGATAAATATGAAGGCAATGTGATCTTTATAAATTTGTCATTCAAAAAAAAATAAAATTACAAATAATAGTAATATATTATTCAACAAGTGCAAACTAAAAGAAGCTAAGAACTCATGTAACAAAATGGATATGGATAATACAAGAGTTAAACAATTATATAGTTAAGAACAGGCATTATGCAATAGTGATGAAAGATACTAACAGCACTAACAGTAATATCAAAAAGTTTCCAAGTAAATATATACACAGATAGCAAGTGTACTATAGATAATATAAACAAAGTCAATAAAGGAAAAATAAATTATATATAGAATAAAGTCAAAAATCCTATTATACTTTAGACTATACATATTCCTAAAATTGATTTTAGATTTTTGAGATATTTTAACTTTTTGAGATTTATGCAGAATTTATTCTATATATAGAAGTAAAAAAAAAGTACAGTTATATGTATCTTTAATTAAAGAATAAATCTGTATAATCAAAAAATTTTAGATTTTAAGTAAAATAATTTCATCTTTTATAAAAAACTATTTTGACTTTTTTTTCAAAATTGCAATTTCGGAACCCTAAAATAATTTTGCGTGCAGGTATTTTAGACTATAAAAGAAATTATAGATGAATTGAAACTACAAATCAAGTTACATAAGGTAAAAGCACATGAAGGAAACTATTTTAATGAAATGGTAAACTAACTAGTACAAGTTACAAAAAAAACAATAAATGAGAATTATGTGATCAAAATTAATTACAATAATATTAGAAACAGATCATTTATTTCAACATGAGAAAAAATACCCATAGAGTTTCCTATAAAGCAGGTCTTAAAAAAAAATAAATACAATAAGATATAAATAATATTGGAAATTGCAAAAAAGATTTCAAAAAAATCTTGGATAATGAAAAAATACAAAAAATTGACTGGATTACTATATTTAAAACTTTATATTCAAATAAGATAACAAATAATAACACAAGCAAAGAAAATCACATTAAAAGAAGTTTTACAATAAAACTTTTTAATGGAGAACTACCTATAATACTTAAAAGATTTAAGCATTGATTTCACATATATAATAGTTCAAAATGTATATTATGTAGAAGGTATGAGAAAACTGATATACATGTGTTTGAGTGCAAAAGAAATAATAATAAAAAAGGTGAATACATACCAATGACAAATCATTACAAACAACTAATTAATTGCCTAACTATAAAAATTCAAAAATAAACAAATGAGATAGAGGAAGACAAAATACAAAGTGAACTTAGGTTCCTAAGTGAGTTATGGAAGTGTTGGAGAAATACAGATAAAATAAGTTCACCTAAGATCACATTACACAAATTAATTAAGGGATTTATATTACAATTATTAGTATTCAAAGTTACATCAATGTTGAAATTTAGAGAAAGGGCCAGAGAAATAATTATTGAAGAAATGGTTTTCAAAAAGTACTTAAAAGACTACTGGAAGGAATAATGTGAAAAAGTGACACTATGGGAAGTTAAAAGTAATATTACAAATAGATTAAAAAGAAAAAAAGAAAAAAATTAATTTAAAAAAGGTGAGGAAAATAAGAGAATATAATGACAGTATAAAGTTAGTAGAAACTAATGAAGGAAAATACAGTAAAATAGAACAAATAGAAAAGAACATGATATATAAATTTAAACTTAGGATGCAAATATAATAATAATTATAATTATATATATAATAATTACATCTGATAGGGTTTTGATCATCAGTTTCTGAGGTTACACTTAGGCAATAATAAGTCAGATGGTAAAATATTATTTTTAGTCAGTTTTAATAAATGTAAAATAAATTATCTGTATCTTTAAAATTTACACCTAATTTATTAATAAAACATCAGGAAATTTAATTAGGCGTAGATTTACGGAAATATCACATGACCCCCGAAAAATTTGATTTTTTAACTTTGGCCGA